TGATTCCTGGAAGGAGAAAAAGACTAGGTTTGTTGGTGTCTAAACAAACAGATTTTTCAAGTTTTGAGTGGAAAGTTGGGCAGAAATTTTCAAACAGAGATGATTTCAAGGATGTTGTAGCTAAGTATGCTGTGTTGCAGGGCAGAGATGTGAGTATTGTTGTGAGTAACAAACAGAGATCACAGAGGTTAGGTGTGAAATGCAGAGGAAGTTGTCCATTCTATGTGTATGCTTCCTGGGATAGTAGGAGGGCTACAATAGTTGTGAAGACAGTGAAAGGACTTCGCAGTTGTCAGAGAAATATGAAGAGGAACAGGCAACTCAAATCAAGTTTTGTTGCAAAGAAATATTTAGATGTGTTTAAAACTAGGCCACATTGGCCAGCAAAAGACATTATTGAGTGTATAAGGAAGGCATACAGGATGTTGGTGACTAGATACTTTGCCTATAGAGTCAAGTACAATGCCCATAGACTGTTACATGGGTCAATGCATGACCACTACAACAAGCTAGGTGGGTATTTGAAGGCAATAGAGGAATGCAGTCCTGGAACAGAATTGGAGCTTGTCACTGACATTGAAAAGCAGGCTTTCCCACCAATGTTCCAGAGGTTGTTCATCTGTTTTGAAGCTTTGAGAAATGGGTGGATTCAAGGTTGTAGGAAGGTGTTGGCAGTAGATGCCTGTTTTCTCAAGACCTTTTTGGGGGGTCAACTGTTGGCTGTTGTTGGCAGGGACAGTAATGACCAGATGTTCCCAGTGTGCTGGGCTGTTGTTGAAGGTGAAAACAACTCCAGCTGGGAGTGGTTCTTCATGAAAGTTGCTGCTTGTCTAAATCTGGAAGAAGGAGAAGGGGTCTCTATCATTTCTGATGAGCATCAGGTATGATTCCTAACTTATTTCTCAAGTGTGAGCTAATTGTATATTCTGTATTGTTTGTATTCTAATTTGAATTCTTTGCCTATTTTGTGCTAATTTGAATTCTGTATTGTTTGTATTGTAATTTGGCAGAGTATAGTGCATAGTGTCTCAACTGTTCCGCCTAAGGCAGAGCATAGACACTGTGCTACACACATATTTGCTCACTGGCACAAGAAGTATAAAGGAGATGAGCTGAAATTGTTGTTCTGGAGAATTGCTAAGGCATACAATATGGCTGATTACAATGAAGGACTGCAGGAGCTTGCAGAGTTAAATGTGGATGCAGCCAATGACTTCAAATTGCATAGGCCTGAATTATTCTGCAGAGCTTTTCTGAATCCAGGAGTGAAGACTGATGCAATTACTTCAAACATAGCAGAAACATTCAATGGGTACATCATTCAAGCAAGGACAAAACATTTGCTCTACATGTTAGAAGAGATAAGAGCTACTTTGATGCAGAGATTGGTGGTGAAAAGGCAAGGTATGATGAAAGTCACCACATTGCTATGTCCAAGAATACAAGCCAAGTTGGAAGTTGAGAAGGCAAAGGCTGCAGAGTGTGAAGTTACTCCTTCATCTGAAACCCTTTTCAATGTGAACTACTACTTAGATCAGCTGGTGGTGGACTTGGAAAGCAGAAGCTGTACTTGTAGGAAATGGGACATGCTGGGCATCCCATGTTGCCATGCAGTGGCTTCTATTTTTTTCATGGGCAAGGAACCAGAGATGTATTTGGATCAATGCTACCACAGGGACACTTATTTGTCAGTGTATGCAGGTAACAAAGCAATTCCATTAATGCATTCATTTTTGTCTACCACTGTAGTTGTCAACTAATGCATTTTTTTATGGATGTTGATAAGTTGTATTCCACCAATTCAAGGTGAAAGGCACTGGCCAGTAGTGTCCATGCCTATTGATCCTCCACCAATCAAAATTGGTCCAGGGAGGCCAAGAAAAAATCGAATTAAAGATCCACATGAGAACCCCAACAAATCTGGTTCTTTGACAAGAACAGGGATTGAAATGACTTGTTCTGTCTGCCAAATGAAAGGGCATAACAAAAGGAAGTGCCCTAACAAGGACAATGTGCAGCCAGCTGATCCTGCTCCAAAGAGGGGAAGAGGGAGGCCTCGCAAGGATGCTGAACCTACAGCTACACCTCAACCTACAGTTGCATCTGTGCAATCCACTCAGGCTGATACAACCCACCACTCCCTAACTGCTCAACCTACCATACTTGGTAGAGGGGGAAGAACAATTTTTATGGGTAGGGGATCAAGGGGTGGAAGGGGTAGAGGAGGTGTTGTTTCCAATGCTGGGACAGGAAGAGGAAGGGGTTCACATGTTGCTGGCTCTAGCAGAGGTGCTTCAAGTGGGAACAGGGGAGTAGGAAGGGCCAGGGGTGGAACTGGGGGCAGAGGAAGGAACTAGGTCCCAGCAGGTGTAGGTGTCTTCATTGCATCAGATGGATCTGCAATCACTAATGTGAGTGCCTTTATGTTGGCACTATTAGTGTGTCTCATTTTGCTTGCAACTAATGTCTTACTAATGCTAATATACTACTGTATCTGTTTGCAGACCCAAGGCAATGACAGGAGAACAAGATCATCAAGAACAGCTATGGACTGGTTCCAGTGCAGTCAAGAGAGTCAACGTTCGACCTTGCATCAACCAACTCAGTAGTCATCTAAGTAGTGGCATGAACAATAACTCATTTTGGTGTAATTAAGTAATTAAGTGTTGGTAATTTATTTATGTAATCTTTTGACAACAGTTTTTATTGTTTTTGGGCATATTACAATGTAATGCAATGAACCATGGCAGTGTTCATTTTGTGTAATGCAGTGAACCATGGCAGTGTTCATTTTGTGTTTGTTGGCCAGACCATTTGCAAGCTATTTTGTTCAACATAACAACTTCACCAACTTAATTTGTTCAACATAACAACTTCACCAACATAATTCAAGTTGAAAGCAAATCAATGTAATAATAACTTCCATTAATTCACTGTTACAGTAACATGCCTTGCTACTAAAAAGGTTTTTTCAAAGCCATATTACATGTCACAAATGCAAAATATACAATCATGTCCAAACCTAATCAACCTTAATGAGTCTAACCTACTATCATCTCCACTCAATATCACTGTCATGCCTTCAAATACACTAACAGAAAAGCAAAGAAAATCCATGACACAAACAGAGCAATGGAAAAGTTTTTTTCATTCCTTGCCGCCTTCATTAGTTCAATTCTAGTGTGGCAAAGCTCCATTTTTGTATCATTCAACTCATCCTCTTTAATATCCAAATTCTTCTCAATTTTTTTCAACTGCTCCTTCATGAAATCAATTTCAATCTCCTTTTCAGCAACTTGTGTATCTTTTTCAAAAACCTGGAATCGTAGATCTTCAAGGTCCATATTGTTAGCATTAACCCACTGAAAGAACCCACAATCACCCTCCTGTAAAAAAAATCCCAAAATCAAATTAATTTGAAAGCCCTAATTTGGTTTTTCCAATTGAATAATCTTACAAGTTCAATTCCAAAAACAAAAAATTTGTCACTTCCAACCACACTTACAGGCCAGTTAGGGCATCCGTAGAACTTCTTACCCACATTATCGCCATTCCTCACCCTCCGAATTACGGTTTCAACACCGCATTTGCACTTCAATTTTGGCAAACCCCAACCAAACGACCTTGACGAAGATGATTCACTTGAACCAACGTGCCTACGACTACCCATTGCAACCAATTTCACTGAGAAGAGATGAATTTGATAGGGGAATTTGCGACCAACAATGGTGTTTTAAGGAAGAGAGGAAACAGAGAAAGAAGAAGAAGAGAAATCAACTAAGGGACGTGGCACTTTTAAACAAACAAAAAAAAATTAAAAAATAAGTAACCGTTAGATTCCACGTAGGCCTAAAACCGGATAAAACAGGTGAGGTAACCTGTAAGGACCAATAAAAATAAAAGTTACCTAAAGGTGGGATTATTGAAAAATAATTGAAAGGTGAGATTATTAAAAACGAACGGGTGAAAGGTGGGATTATTCCCATGAATTTTTCCTTCATTTTATATGTGTACATTGAATAATCTTTTATTTTACATTATTGAAAATATTAAATCACATTTTAATAAAATGCACTCTGTAGATGGATTATAAGGGTCTGTTCACATTTACTGAACTGAGCTGAACTAAACTGAGCTGAACTGATTGGAGCTGAACTGAACTGAACTGAACTGATTGGAGCTGAACTGAACTGAACTGAACTAAGCTGAAATGAATATTTTATGAGAGAGGGAAATTAAGAGCTGAATTGAACTGAACTGAACTGAACTGATTGGAGCTGAACTGAACTGAAATTAAGTAAATGTGAACAGGCCCTAAATGTCCATGATCAGGGTCATACAAGCCACTTGTCGTGTTAATAGACCTTATACCCAAGCGGATCATGTATTGAATGAGCCAAGAAAAAAACATATTTGTGCTAAACTTGTGTATATCTTTGCTTATGCACGGAACGACCCACTTATTGTGCTAGCAGATCTCTTAATAATTTTTAAGAAATATTACCCTATAAATAGAAGACAATATCGACCCGGACCAATTATATCGGCCCGATCCGATCCAATCCAATCAATAACCCATCCCTCTACAATAGATAACTTCACAATTTAAACCCATGATAAAAAAAAAATATCTAAAATTAACCCCCAACGTCAATATATCCAGCATTGTCAGAACTCAGAACATTTCCGTCCAAATGATCCCCTCTCTTTCCCCATACCAGAATACCGACAGCACAAGTAACCGGTCAAAAATAAAGTTAAAATACAAGTCACAAAAACCGTGTACTCCGTCTAAATCGTGAAAATTAAACATGCTTTTATTAATTTCTAACTGCTACGTGTACAAAACCTTACCCTTTCCTTTTCCTCTCCCTCCTTAAATACCCCCTTCCTCCTTTTACCTTTCTTTCATCCAACTCCATCTTTTACAATCAAATCATCTTCTTCTCCATTCTCTCTCCTCAGAAAAAAAAAAACTCCATTATCAAACTACCTCAAATATGGCGACTACTTTTCTACCTTCTCAAACCTTCGTAGTCCGTGCTTCCGGCGTCTCCGACAACACTCGCCGGAAAACCACCACATCCGCCGCTGCCGGCGGTGGAAAGTGGTGGTCGCCGCTCTTCGGATGGTCCGCTGAAGCTGATTACATTGATTCCGGCTCAAAGATCGAAGCAACTCCGGTGAAGTCGGAGGATGTTCCGGCGAAACCGAAGTTCTCAGGCTGTTTCACTGAAGAAAAGGCGAGGCAGATGAGGTTGATGACGAAGGAAACGGCGGCGTTTCATGATAAAATGTATCACTCTGCTATTGCTTCTCGTCTTGCTTCTGATTTCTCTGCTCATGACTCAGATCGTCAATGATCTAATTTCACCGACGCATCGTTTTAGTCCACATTTTCTCTCTCCTTAGATTTTTCTTTAATTTAAAAAAAAAATGTAATGTTATTGTTGAATTTGGGTTGATTTAGTTAGCATCATGCATGAAAAACTTAGTTTTTGGTAATTTTTTATGATGATGTAATATTGTAATGAATGTGGACAAAATTAGGTGCGCCTTCATTAATCTATCTGTAATTATTCATTACTCTAATTATCTTGTTTTTTTACTTAATTTTCATTATTGTATATAATTCCTTTTTTATCTATAATTTTAGACGAGATTTAATTCTATATCTGATTCGATTGTAGGCGAGTGCTAGACTTAACTCCTAGATTAGGTAGAAGTACACTGATTAGTGGATCCTAATATTAAGCCAATGGTTTTTAGGATGATGTAAATCTCTAGATAAGTGCTAAGTTATTATTAAAATGAAATGATGTAAGATCTGAGTAGATAGTGATCTTAAAGTAGATTATATTGCTTTTTTAAAAGATTAGCGATTGGATTAGGATTAATGAATAAAACGGTGACGTTTTAAGATAAAGACGTTAATTAGTGGAAGGAGGAAGTGTGTTAAGTAAGGATTAATGGAACGATGACGTTTTCAGACATTGACATAAAAATAGTAAATTATTTGTAGAACAGTAGAAGAGAGAGTGTTTGTCTAAGGAAGGCCTTAGAATATTACGGTAGGATTAGAAGTATAAATTAATCTAAACCGTACAAATGTGTACGAGTATGTTTGAGCTGATCAGACGGTCGGGAATCTTGGAAGGATTACATTGTGATTTGTGAATCTAGAGATGCATATAGCTAATCACAATTCACAAGGACAAGGGGGGTATCTTCCAACTATTTTTTTAATTTGTTATAATTTTTTTTTTTAAAATCGAATTTTAGTAGTGTACTTTTTTTTTTTCTTTTTTTTATTGAAAGCTGGTAGAGTGTACTTGCGAGAATATTGATGGGAGATAAAGGGAATCACAACAAGTGGATGGAATATACTTGTTGCTGATGCTTTGACCAACATGATCTCTTTATTACTCGTATTCAATAATAGAGTAATAATTTCTTTCAAAAATAAAAAAATAATAGAGTAATAATTAACTAAATAAATAAGTAAAATAACCCATTATTGCTTATTGTATATGGCACACGTTATCATTGTCTAGCGTGGATCTTACATCACTAAATAAACCATGGACACACGTTAGACAAACCGGAAGAATAATTTGAACATTTTTTAATTCGAGGACCTTAGGCACTAAATTAAAATTTTAGTACTAGATTTTGATAACAGGCTTTGTGAATTGGGATGTTAGAGGCATGGACTTAATTTTAAGGTTGGCCTCATAATCAATTTATCAAAATAAGTAGGCATAAATATAATATACCGCATATACTTTCGTGAGATGGGGAGTTTTTTTTTTTGTTGTTGTTTGGCTCATTCAATTATGGTCATTATCGACCATATTAATAGGGTCCAATTTGTCATGTGCGAAATTAAACTAGTTTGACATGGTTCGATAAAGTCTGAAAAAACCAAAACAAGGCTAAAAGCAGGTGAGGTACAACTTGACCAAGTAGCCAGCCCAATGATCCTGACCTTCACGTTTTGCTCCTTAAGTTTCAAGCATCACATTTCAAAAGGATCAGGTAATCTCTCAATTCACTACAATACATCGTCTACACCGTGTCCTCGTACTATCAAGTGCTGCAACAACGCCCCTTCAAGGACCAAAGAGGCAAAAGGCTGTACATAGACTACATACTGCTGTTTCTCAAATTATGATGATACTACATTTCACATAAAACATCACCAAAACCAACCATGGTAATAAACAAGCTGATACACCATAAACCATTCATAATAAAGATAATAAGGTTCCCATAACTCCGCAAGAATGTCAGATGTTGGCTAATCAAAACTGAATATGCCATCATTCTCCCAAAATACTCTATTTGAGATTATTTAGTTCCAAGAATACATAATAATATAACCAACTAATGCTAAGTCTGCAAGAAGTGATACTTGGAGAAGAATGATTATCAAATGTGCAAGATCCTCGAAAAATGTAAAGCAGTGAGATCAAGCAATAAGATTGCCTTCACGATCAACTGAATGATGGTGTACTTACAAGCCTCAGGAGACCAAGTGCTGATTCAGTTCCTCTACTTGCTCTCGACATCATAAAGATCAGTCCTGAATATCTCAGTCAAGGTTTAACAAAAGAGGAGATGATGAAACTTTAACCCTTGTAATGACCGTATCTGTTTCCAGATTAAATATGCATACACAACGTGGATGACTATGCATAAAAGCAATATTAATCTGCATTAGTAGTTCAGCAAATAAAAACTAGCTTAACTAAAGAAGACAAATGGCATAAATGCTCACAAATGTATGATCTTATTCAAATATACGGTATCAAAAGCTATGAGATTTTAACCCTCTAGTCAAAGCTTCAATAGTTCTATTTTGGTTTTTGACGACCACAAAAACTTGGCCATGCATGCAAAACTGAAAGAGGGTTTAAAAGACCAAAATCTCAATGTTGACAGACACACAAGACTACAAGAGGTTACCAAAACAGTAAGCCCAGTTTTTTTTTTTTTTTTTTTTTTTTCTTATTTGGTTTTTTTTTTTTTTTTTCTGTCATATTTGGGTTAAGTAAAAAAATAATAATAACATGGAAAAGGATGGGAAAAAATCTCACAGGGATAATTTAAGATACTTAAGAACAATGTAGAAGAACAGTCGAATCAGCCGAGTAGAAGAAAAAGAAAAACAAAAAAGATCACAAAGTGTGGGACCCAATGAGTAGAATGTATAATCATATGATTGAGCAATTGACATCAAATATAAGTTTTTGGTACCATTTGTCAGCATACTGGCTAAATTAATTTGCCATGATAGAGATATGGAGGCTGGAGACCGATGAAGGCAACATATAAAAGAATGTGATTAACATGATCTTGTCCTATTAATATCAGCATGCCAAATAATGGGATGAAATGTGAACCACCCTAAAACATGTGGTACAACACCAAACAGAAACCACAAACAGAGACCACAAATTTATATGAAGATGACACCTGAGATAGCATTACGGTCATTACCAACTAGAATTTCATTTTCTGTGAGATATTTGGCCTTCAGTAATCTATAATCATGAATCACAATCTCACTTACTAAAATGGGAAGTACCATATTAGAGCCTGGCAATTACGCTATGATAATAAGTATAACATCAAGTAAATGTCTCCCAGGCTCCTAGCTACCCACCTAAGTACACCAGTCCACTTCTGAAATATGTATTCAATATACAGGTTACATTCCAGCCTTCCAGGTATATTTACAATATATTTCAAGTGTTATACATTCCGAATTCTCCAAGACAGAAGTTAGCAGAATCCACCTAGCAAGAAATAAAGTTACCTGAGACTAAACACAACTTAATTGGAAAATTCTGATCAGAAAACCTTACTTCAGAAAAAGTTTGGGAGTCTATTAATTTGTACTGAGAAAACACTGCTTATTCAGAAAATTCTGATCAGAAAACCTTAATTCAGAAGAATGTTGGAGTCCAAGTATTACTTTGTACTTAGTGAGAAAAATTAATCATATACTGCCTATCTAAATTTGAGATATATGATACAGAGTACCACATCACAAGTTCACAACAATCTTTCATCACCCATTCCCTATATAACATATGTCATACAGAGTTTTCTCCCAAGGAGATACTGAGAAAACGACTGATGATTTATGTTACACAAACTCAGCTACTAGCGTGCGCCTGGCATCAAGGGTATATTTACTAGATTAATATATGTCCGAATGTCACATATAATCCATTTTTCAGAAAACCGTACACTTGTTGGGTCCAAAATGAATCGTCATGTTTCATGAATCTTTTCATCTATACATGCTGACCCAAGAAGGAAACTGACTCAGCTTATGAGTTGCGTAAAGGAGGAAACTAAATAATGATTGGAGTCTCTAACATGTTAACCCAAGAAAACTAAACCTCTCAGCAAACCCACAATCAATGAACTTGAAGGCAGCTTCATCTACATCATCACATAGCAACCACACTTAACTCTCTAGTCTCTACCCCTCATTGAACAATCCATAATCAAATAAACTCATTCAAACAATCCAACATATACATCCCCTCCTTCAATTTGTTGCATTAATCTCATCATTGTTAAGAAATACTACCTCCATTACAGGTTATATGCAACGATTTGACATAAAGCAGAGAGGGAAATGTCTAATTGTTGCACATAACCTGTAACGGAGGTAGTACAAACTACCTATTCATAGGACATTTAATCAAACTTCAAACATTCGAAATATTCACAATTTTCAGCAACATACAACATACCAATAACTACAAATCAACATCCCATCTAGGAAAACAACAGCAACTACATTTTCATAAAAACAATCAAAAAGGCATAATCAAGCATTCAATACAAAATTCTAAACAATTCATCTCACATTAATCAAACTATAATACTAGCAGGAAAATCTGAAACACAAAACTTTAAAATGTGAAAGGTAAAAGGATACACCAGATAAGCGCCATGTGCAAAAGCTCCAACAAGAACAGCAGTAAACAAACGATCCCTAATAACAGGTTTATGCCTCAGTGATATTCTAACTGCACTCAGAAATCAAAATAGAAAAAAATAACCAAAATTAAAATCAACAAAAACCCAGAAAAAATCATAAAAATTAGATGAAAAAGAGGGAATTACTGAGAGGAAGAACAGGAGCGTAGATAAGAGGGAGCATGAGTAAGAAATTGGGGCCTTTTTTCTTTTGTTGTTGCTGCTTAATTGGCTCCCTTTTAATAAAATTAGAAGAAGAAAAAAAAAACCCAGATCAGAAATTTAGTGTATTGTAAAAGAGAGAGAATTGAAGGGAGATGAGAAGCTTACTGTTTGAAGGGATCGTAAGGAGAAGCCATTGATGAAGTTGGGGAGGTCGGAGGAAGACGACTGCGTTTTACAGATCGACGGAATTTCCCTTGTGATTTTTGGGATGATTTTTTTTTTAAAATTTATTTATTTATGGTTCAATAAGAATAATTTTCTTTGTACATTACTACGGAGTAAGTTTTAACGTCCTTTTCTGTGGGCGGGTTTTCTCTTTTTGCGCAGCCTATCTTTTTTTTTTTTTTTTAAGTGGATTCGGATCAAGTCAATTTTTTTCTTTTTATTTTTTTTTTAACAAAGTTCACTAACAAAACAAACAAACACAAGAACCACTAGCTAAATATCTAAAAAGACCAACAAAGGAAACGGCGGTCACGAGCATAGGCCGCCAACCAATGCGCAGAAGCAACCCAATTCCGAGGCACCTTACAGAGCTGACTAGCAGAAAATCGGGGGAGAATTTCCTGAATCTCTTGAAACAACCAAAAACAGGACATATCAGCAGATTTAGAGTGTTGAAACATGGATCAAGTCAATTTGGTTATTAGTTCATGTCAGCTTAGATTGTTCAAATGAAGTTCTCTAAAAATAAATAATAATAATAATAATAATAAAAAAATTATACAAATGATGCTTATTAACAATTTAATATTTAGTCTCCCGTTAAAAAAATAAAATAAAATAAAATAATTAGTCGATTTTTTATTTAATTGATACTCGTATTTTGTTTGGCTAATTGCAAATTGAGCAAATTAGTATTTTGGAACATGTTTGTTAGAGACATCAACCATGTACTCAGCAACAAAATTAGTTTTTGAGAATGAGATATTGATCAATGGATAGAGCTCCCATCCCGATTCTAAGTGATTCTGGGATCGATTCTTATCACTCGTCCTTGTGGCTTTCTAAATACCTTAAAAAAAAAAAATTTAAAAAAAAAAAAGCATTATTTACTAAATACTCCCCTTGTACTATTAAAACACGGAGAAGGTACATGAGAATTTCCGTCGTAAAAAGGCTTCCTATATTCATAGCGAGGTCTAGAGCTGTCAAAAGTTGACCCGACCCGAAATACTGACTCAAACCCGATTATTAACCGACCCATCTAAACCCAAAAAATGGTGACCCAAACCCGACCTGACCCGACCTAAAACCAACCCTAGACTCGAGTTGACCCGAGTATGTGAGACCCAAAACCGAACATGAACTGACTTGGAGATGACCCGACCCGAATGTAACCCGTAAATTATTGACCTGAACCGAACCCGACTTGAACCAAAATTGACCCAAACCCGTTTTAACCCGCCAAACGCGAATTTAACTCGACTTGTTACTAACCTGACCTGAATTCAACCCGACCCATTCCTAACTCGACCTGAATATAACCCAACTTGTTACTAACCCGACCCGAAATCAACCCGACTTGTTATTGACCTGACCCAAATTCAACCCGACTTGTTATTGACCCGACCCGAATTTTACTAGACCTATTACTAACCCGACCCAAAAATTCAACCCGATTTGTTACTAACTCAACTCAAAATCAACACGACTTGTTATTGACTAGACCTAAATTCAACCCAAATTGTTCCTGACTCGATTTCAAATCACCTTAAATGTATGCAATTTAGACCACCTTTATAATTGTTGATCAAAGCATTTTGTCTAGCTTAGGAAGACCAAGTCAGTCTAGGCCAGCAAAAGAAAGGAGTATCATCCTCAAATTTTAAGAGTTAAATATAGTATATATTTGTTGTATGGTCAAAGGAGATAATTATCTTCCTAAATTATAGACTATATTTTCTTAGTATATTGCCATATATATTATAGTCAAAGGAAATAATTAGCTTGATAAAAATGATAATTATCTATTTATAGTTAGTTGAACCCGAATATGACCTAACTTGGAAATGACCCGACCTGATTGTAATCTGCAAATCATTGACTAGAACATAACCCGGCCGACTTGAATCCGAGAATAACCCAACTTTATTATAAGTTTATAACCCGCAAATTATTGACTTGAACTGAACCCGACTTGAACCTGAAAATGACCCGACTCGAAAATGACCCGACCTGATTATAACCCGTAAATTATTAACTTATTGAATCGAACCCAACTCAAACCCGAGAATGACTCGACCTGATTATAACTCACAAACTATTGACTTGAATCGAACCCGAATCGAATCCGAGAATTACCCTAACTCATTTTAACCCGTGATCTGACAACCCGAATTAAACCCGACCTATTGTTCACCCGACCCGAATGTAACCCGACCTATTATTAACCCGACCTAAACCCGATAAGAACACTAGTAGAAAATAAGTGATGGGAAGCCCCAAAAGGCAAGCGGTTTTAAAAATCCGCTTGCCATTCACCCTTTTTTTTTAAAAACCTGTAATATGAAATGGCAAGCGGTTTTGGCGCGAACCGCTTGCCAATATATATAATGACAAGCGGTTTGGGGTTGAACCGCTTGCCATTAGATATATTGGCAAGCGGTTCAACCCCAAACCGCTTGCCAATTAAAAAAAACACCCTAAAAACGCGCTTTATCCCCCCTCTTTTATTTCTCTTCTCCTCTTTCTTTACCCCGGCTCTCTCTCTCTCCACTTTCATTTCGGCTGCTCTCTCTCTCTCTCCTCTTTCTACTCTCGTTTTCCCTCTAATTCGCCCCTTTCTTCTTTCATTTTCTCTTTTCTTTGTTATTTCTCATCTCATCAAATTTGAACATAACTGGGTATTTTCGAGCAAATTTCGAGGATAATTTCAACCAAATTTCAAACAATTTCGAGCAAATTCGTGCATGCATGTGGGTGTATAAGTTTTTTAGGTCAAATTCGACCATGAAAACTCTAGATCTAGAGTTTTTATGATCGAATTTGACCTTTAAAACCATAATTTGAAGCCAAAATCGGTGGGTTAGATGGTCGTGGTGGGTTAGATCAATGGTTTTTTTTATTTTTATTTCGATTTTAGTTTTATTTTTTATTTTAATTTGATTTTTGGTAGGGGGTCGTGGTGGGTGGGGGACGTGGTTTGGGTTAGGGTCGTGGGTGGAGGTCGTTGTTTGGGTGGGAATCTGGTTTGGTAATTTTTGAGTTTTTTCATATATTATGTTTGTGTATAATTTAAGATTTGAACCCGGTATGTTTGTGTATAATTTTCGAGTTTTTAGATTTAAAATTTTGTTATTTATAATTTAAGATCTGATTTATTTATTTTTTTACACAAAAGATCTGAAATTAAGTTACTTATTGTTGTTTATTTTTTCAATTTATTGTTTGGCAGATACGGTGAATCGGGATAGGATGGTGGTGGTGATACGGTTTAAGGTGGTTGGTGGTGGCGGCTGGTGGCGCGTGCGGCTGGTGGTATGTGCACGGCTGGTGAACAAGAGCAGCATCAGTTTTAATATGCTTGAATTTTTTATTTTTTTTATGAAAATGTAAAATTACAACAATTAATTAATAAAAATATTAATGTTTTTGTATATATTATGTTTGTGTTTCAATTTAATTGGAAAAACTAAAAATAAGAAAAATAAAAAATAAAAAATTTATTTTTTATACCCATAATGGGCAGCGGTTTGGCGCCAAAACTGCTGCCCTTTCACTACAAATGGAAAGCGGTTCTGAACCGCTTGCCATTTAAAAGGCTAATGGCAAGCCCCCCAATGGCATGCAGTTCAAAACCGCTTCCCATTAGGGGGTTTGAACCGCTTGTCATTACGTTTATTCTACTAGTAGAAATATGACCTAACGTGACCCGAATAAAGCATAACCCGACCCGCATAAATTATAAAATTAATCCAAATTAACCCGACCCAATGTTACTGACCCAAACCCGACCCATTTACTCGAATTGACAGTTCTACCCGAAACCTCCAAAATTCCATAAAAAGTGTGGATATAAGCCTTCAATTTTGGAATTTTTTGACTTTTTTTCGCCCTCAAATAAAAATTGCCGAAATTTTAACCATGGTCCCTAATACCCACCGGGAGTCCAATTGGGTGAGTTTAACTATCCAATTTTCCTTTAAACGACCAATTTACCGGTCTACAACTTGCACCGATTTCATTAAATCAAGTCTACCAGGCCACGAACAATTATGACAACATATAACGATCATAAATGGTTCCAAACGACATTATATGACCCCGAGATGTATCTCCTAAAATTTCAAGAGTTTTCGACACCGGGCCTTGAAACCCCCAAAATTTCTCAAAAAGCGTGGATCTTAGACTTCAATTATGGAATTTTATGACTTTTTTCACCCGAAAATAAAAATTGTCGAAATGTACCATTGTTCTTAATATCCTCCGCTAGTCCAATTGGGTGGGTGGATCCATCCAATTTGCCTTTAAACGGCCAATTTACCGGTTTACAACTTGCACCGATTTCATTAACCAAGCCTACCACGAACATTTATGACAACAAATAATGATCATATATGGTTCCAAACGACATAATATGACCCTGAGATGTATACCCTAGAATCTCAAGGCTTTTCGATACCGGGCCTCGAAACCTCTAAAATTTCTCAAAAAACTTGGATATTAGCCTTTATTTTTGGAAATTTTAGACGTTTTTCCCCCGTAAATAAAAATTGTCGAAATGTTTACCATGCTCCCTAATACCCTCCGGGAGTCCAATTGGGTGGGTAAAACTATTCAATTTGCCTTTATACAACCAATTTACCGGTTTACAACTTGCACCAATTTCATCAAATCAAGCCTATCACTAACATCTATGACAACATATAATGATCATAAATGCTTCATGTAGGGAATAGTTTCAAGCTTTTAAATCCCACTATCTTGAACCCCACTGTGATCATACACTAAAGTACGGTGGCGTCCAAAAGGGAAGAAGATAAAGCAAAAGAGTCGCCAACAAGTTTTTAAGGAACTTGTAAACCGTTCATAGGATGAAGGTTACACCCCTTAACGATCCAAGAGATCACCAACTCCATAAGGTCATGAACCAAATAAGGGTTCGGGGATGATGGTACAAATCCAACCTAAAAGAGATTGAACCTGCCCTAATAATAGGCCTCTACTTTATTCTGCTCGTATTCATGTGCGCTTTCTAACTAACATGCAATCAATAGGATTAACCCTAAAACTGTTTAATCTATGTTGGTTGAATATAATGCACAAATAAATCTATTATTGGCGATCACTTGAATTATAATCAAAGTTAACCTAACAAGATTATTAATTATCTTATTAAGCATGATTGCAAGTATAAATTCCCTTTAACATGCAATAAAAGGTGATCAAGCAATAACAATAAAATAATCAAGCAACATAATAAATAATCAATATCATGAATAATAATTATAATAATGATAATATCAATCATAATCATGTTAAAGCATAGCAAGATCCTAGGCATGATACTAACAAGATTAATAACAAATCCTAGCATGTCACTAAGCAATAAAAATCAAATCTTTAGCCCTAACATGATACTAACAATCATAAATATTAGGAAGAATATAGGAAGCATCGTACGTTTAATCATACTTGATATTAAAGATACCCCAGACATAATACTAGGAATTAAAATAACAATCTAAGCATGATTTCTACATCATAATATCAATTAAACCATTAAAGTAATTACTTGGATGCCTCGTACCTCTTTCTAATAACAAAATACACACATTAGTAACTTCAAGGAAAATAATAAAACAAAGCAATTAAATTAAATAATTGAAATAGAGATTTGGGACCAAACCCTCAGAAATTAAAACCTTTCACGTCTAGGGCGAAGGCAACTTCGAATATGGCTAGGTGTTTCTAGATCTTGCGAATGCGGAATTTTGTATTAAAAAGCAAAGTTTAGAAAAGAGTGAAGAGATGAATGTTATATGAGAATTGAATGAAAGAGATGAATGATGAAGATAGTTGGTTAAAACTTAAGAATAAAGAGAATTGGTGAATGAATATTGATAATCCGTGAATGAAAACGGAGTTTTTGATACGATATTTATAGAGAAAATCATCCAAAAAAGATAATTTATCAAAACAGAGTCTGAAGACCGCAAAACCATCTTGGCGCCAGCCCTGGCTAATTGGCGCCAGGACTAATAGCTAGCGCCAGGCGCTAATGCTGGCGTCTGGCGCCAACCCCGATTCCAGGCGCCAAGGCCTGGGATTGGACGCCAAATCGGCTTTTAACGCGTTTTCGAAAATCTGATAAACTTACCGTACTGGAAGATAAATAAATATAATTTTAGTCGAAAATGCTATTTGATCTAATTAAAACTCTGAAGAGTCCTAATTAAATTAGGAATGATAAGACCTTCTAGAACGTTCTAGAAGACTAAAACCATTCCTAATTTCATTAGGAATGATAAATTATATTAGGCCCTCCCCTAGATCATAGGGCCGTATTTAAAACTCAAACCGGACCCAGTTTAGTAAATTGGCCATAAATTCCTCAATATTCATCGGAATTGGGCTTATAATATATCGTTGGAAAAGGTCTTTGCAAGCCCCATCCAACTACACCACTATTGGACCCATATCATGGACCAACCAAACTGGATTGGCTGTTTTATTTAAATAAAGTTTTCAAAAACAGAGAGAAAAGAAAAGAAATAAAACTTTCCGCAATACTAGGCCTTTCCACACTTTCGTTTCATTCGATTATGATTCGACGTGAAAGGCACTCATCACCGGGTTTGGTTTTAGGGAGACTAATTGGGTGTGTGGAACCTTCCAATTTGCTGTTATACGGTCAATTTACCAGTTTACAACTTGCACTGATTTACCGGTTTACAACGGCCAATTTGATTATCTTGCACCGAACTTGACCCTAACCCTTTTTAACACGTCAAAACACGACTTGTTACTAACCTGACCTGAATTCAACTCGACCCGTCCCTAACCCGAACCGAATTTAATCCAACCTGTTACAAACTTGACCGACTTGTTATTGACCTGACCCAAATACCCGACTTGTTATTGACCTGACGCGAATTTTACCGGACCAATTACTTACCCGACCCAAAAATTTAACCCGATCGGTTACAAACACGACTCGAAATTAACACGACTTGTTAATGACCCGACCTAAATTCAACCCAAATTGTTCCTGACCCGTTTTCAAATCACCTTAAATGCAATTTAGACCACCTTATTATTGTTGATCAAATCATTTTTTCTAGGGAGACCAAGTCGGTCCGGGCCAACAAAAGAAAGGAGCATCATCCTTAAATTTAAGAGTTAAATATAGTATATATTTGTTGTATGGTCAAAAGAGATAATTATCTTCCTAAATTATAGACTATAGTTCCCTAGTATATTGTCATATATATTATAGTCAAAGGAAATAATTAGCTTGATAAAAATGATAATTATATTTATTGTTAGTTGAACCCGAATATGACCTGGCTTGGAAATGACCCGACCTGATTGTAACCTGCAAATTATTGACTTGAACATAACCCGACTTGAATCCTAGAATGACCCGACTTGGAAATGACCCAACTTGATTATAACCCGCAAATTATTGAATTTAACCGAACTCGACTTGAAAATGACCTGACCTGATTATAATTCGCAAATTATTGACTTGAACCGAACCCGACTCAAACCCGAGAATGACCTGACCTGATTCTAACCCGCAAATTATTGACTTGAACCGAACCCGACTCGAACCCGAGAAGTACTCTAACCCGTTTTAACCCGAATTAAACCCGACCTATTTTTTACTCGACCCGAATGTAACCCGACCTAAACCCAATAAGAAGTATGACCCGACGTGACCCGACTCAAGCATGACCTAATTCAAACCCGACCCGCATAGATTATGGAATTAATCTGAAATGACCTGATCCGACCCACTCTTACCCGATCCATTTACTCGAATTGACAGCTCTAGCGAGGTCGCTCGCTAGTCGCAACTAGTTTTCTAGTGGCAAGGTATAAATATGATAAACACAAAGATATTATTTGTGCGTTTGAAGAACGCGGGATACAATCTTCATAGGCCGAAAAAAAAAAAAAAAAAAAAAAAAAAAAAAAAAAAAAAAAAAAAGATTACGAATCCAAAATTGGGGACAAACAATAAAAAGGTTGAATCTCCTTAAAAACAGAAGATTGAAACATAATAGTGCGTGAAATTGAAGCCAACCTTAGTCATTCTATAAATACAAATAATCCCCCTCTTTTTCTCTCCATCTCACCCTTCTCTCTTATCAATTCCGCCGTTTACAATGGTACTCTCTCTCTCTCTCTCTCTCTCCATTCGATCTTCTCCAATAATTTATACGATAAAATTAAAAATTAGGGTTTAATTTCATGTCTCTTTTGGTTAATTATTATTTTGCTCTTTTCCAGGCTTTACCTAATCAGCAAACTGTTGATTATCCTAGCTTCAAGCTTGTTATTGTCGGCGATGGCGGCACTGGTACGTTTTTTTTTTATTTTTTTTATTATTATTGATTATCGTGTTATTATTTCATAAATTTACGATCGTTTTTGTTGTTTTGATACGTGATTTTTGTTTGATGATTTGTTTTTTGGTTGCTGGTTGAATTATGGTTGTTTTAGGTTAAGAATTTACGAGTGTAACGTTATTTTGAATAAAAATGTTGAGATAATTATTTGATTAGGGTTTGATATTTGCCTGCTAATTGTTTAGATAATTTTCACCAGTTTATTGATTTTATTTTCAGAAGATAATTGAAATTCTAATTATCGATATTTTTGTTAAGGCAGTGGTATATGATTTTAAATTTTGTTTATTTGAAATAAATGCCGTAGTAATATATGCATGACATTGTTAGTGATTTTTGAAGTGCAATTTTCTGAGAATGGTGTGAATTCATGTAAATTTTGAAGAGAATGTAATTGTGAAAGTATGATTAACGATGTTTTGTAAAATTGGATCTTTTTATAAAAATTTGTTTAACCAAACAATTTGTTTTTGATTAACGTAAATTGCATTAGATTATTAGCAATTTTCGTAGTTTAGTTTTTAATTTATGAGAACGGTGTGAATTTTGAAGATAATGCACGAGCAATTTTGTTGCCGAGAACTATGATCTGGATATGGGAGATAAAATTAATTTCTTGATTTTATTTATACTAAAAAAATCAGAAGAAAAAGACATAGTTTGAGCTCTTTTTGGTACATGAATTCAAAGAGAAACAATGCTTTTGCTGTTGTGCGTTTATTGTGACTTTTGATAAAGAATAGAACGTTAATTAAGGCAATGATTTTCATGATTTGCTTGGATTGGTAGGCCGCGAATTTATGAATTATTTTCCTTTAGCGGAATTTATGTGTCCGGTGCCTTGTCTAACACAACAAGCATGTATAAGTGGATATTCTGCAGCTATTGTGTGTATAAAGATTACAATGCAAGCTAAAATCAATTAAAGTTCTAGATTAGGAATCTAAAGCATTATCATGGTTACTTGATGCTTATTCACGGATTTTATATAGTTTTATGCTCCGCATGCATATAGATTTAGTTTCCTAGTTAGGAGAATATTTGTCGGTATATCTAAATCATTGTTCGCTGTTGCAGGAAAAACTACTTTTGTTAAGAGGCATCGTACTGGGGAGTTTGAAAAGAAATATGAACGTAAGCCTATTGAATTCTCTGTTGATATCCCCATTTTCTTGTCTGTGGATGTAATTGTTATGGGATTAACATATATGTCTTTCTTCCTTTCTCCAGCAACTATTGGTGTGGAGGTACATCCATTGGATTTCACCACAAACCTTGGCAAAATAAGATATTATTGTTGGGATACTGCTGGGCAGGAGAAATTTGGAGGCCTTAGAGATGGTTACTAGTAAGTCTTATAACATGAAACAAATGTAACTGTTAGAGCTTACACTTTGAAGTCTGTTTTGTGAAAATTCAATTATTCAGTACTTGTCAAATAATGCAGTTGACTAAATTGCTTCTTTACTTCGAGTAATTTACTATAATTCCATAGTTGGTGTTTGATTACATTGTTGTTCTTCTTATCCAAATCTTTTCTGCTCTCTAGCCAAGTTATTGCGCTGTTGCCATACAGATATTTGTCCTCTGAATTAAATTCTTATTGATAGAGATTCACCATGTCGTTGATCTTCATGCAACTGTTGAGGTTTCTTTTGTTTGTTTAGACTGGCAGAGTTTCATTAGGGAGAATTAGTAGGAATGTAATTCATTTCAAGGACAGCATTTATACATCTGATATATTTGTTGTAAAATTACGTTGATTTATCATATTCGAGTTATTTCTCCAGTTTAGGGATGAAGCTGTCTAAATTGATAGGCCCTCTAACTTGTTATGCAATATCAGCCAAATTTGTGTACACACTATTCCTGTTACTAATTCTATAACTGTTATGCTTGATGCAGCATTCATGGTCAGTGTGCTATCATTATGTTTGATGTTACAGCTCGGCTGACATACAAGAATGTTCCAACCTGGCATCGTGATCTTTGCCGGCGAGTCTTTTTTTACATGATTTTTAGGTCCATTGAGTATAGTCCATGTTGGATATATTTAATAATTTGTCCTTGTTTCCGAGCAGTGTCTGTGAAAATATTCCCATTGTTCTCTGCGGAAACAAAGTTGATGTGAAGAACAGGCAAGTGAAGGCAAAACAGGTTACATTTCATAGGAAGAAGAATCTGCAGTACTATGAGATATCTGCAAAGAGCAACTATAACTATGAGAAGCCCTTCTTGTACCTTGCTCGGAAGCTAGCTGGGTAACTGCTGTGCTCATTTTATTCTTTTCCTGCAGCATGTTTGGGGGAATTAAATGCTTAATGAATTTGTTGTTTTCATATGTTATTGCTGGGTTTTGGTTAAATACCTAACGTGTGTTTGCCTTTGTTTCAGGGACCCTAATCTTGTCTTTAAAGAGGAGGTTGCTCTTGCCCCGCCTGAAGTAGAGATTGACTTGATCGCGCAACAACAGTAAGTGTTATTACAGTTTAATTGATTTAGAGTACTCTGAATTCATTCTGCTTTGCAGCAATATGATAGTATCCAGAATACAGAGTCTTTGAGTTTGGATTCTTAGTAGTAATTATTGTCAGCATGCTATTTTGTCTGCTCTGATAGCAGTGTGAATAATCAGAGTAATAGCAGTTTTGTTGTGCATGTTTTGCTATAAGTCAATAATCGCTTAATTTTAATTTTACTCACTCATGTTGGCTCGTATGTGCTGTGTAAATGTGTGATCTAGCTTATTTTCCTTTAAAAGCCTTAGTGGAAGTGAACTGTGATGTGCATCATTGAGAAGCATCGTCAAGCAATAGTACTCACTACTCAGTATTGTTTTCTCGTGTTTGTTCTAGGAATGAAGCAGACCTTGCTCAAGCAGCTATGCAGCCATTGCCTGATGACGATGATGATACATTTGAGTAGTGGCCAGGCTCTGAGAATCGCTGTTTATTAGTAGATTTGTTCATTTGGGGTGTGTACCTTTTGAAGAACACCAAACTTGGTTTAAACACATTCATGTCTATAACTCTTATCAGCTACTAGCTAGATATATCCTACTCGATTTATATTTTTTAAGTTTTACAGATTATATTGTTGATAATTTGATATTGTTATTGGAGAGGTTTATTAATTATAAGTACAATTTATCCTTTCCTTTGTTTCTCCAAAAAATTGTGATGATGATGAGCTGAGATGAGCAAAAAATGGTACGTGAGCAAATAGTGTGAATTTTTAGAAGGTTATTAAAAAGGGAGAAAGGGTAAATATGATGTAAGTGTGAAGCCTAAGGAATTGTAGCTAACGCGTTCAATGCATTTGATTTCTACTTATCTTTGAACTTGTAAAAGACTTATTTTATTTGTAAATAGGACTTGTAAAAAGACTTGTTTAATTGTAAAAAAAACAAATTGAAAATAGAACTTGAATATAATTCATTAACCATCATTTAATATTCCAAGTCAGCTCCTTCTAAAATTTGTCTGATTTATAGGTTAATTGATTTGGGGATTTTTTTGGACCTAAAAAGAAATATTTTAGAAAGTCAGTTTTTGCCTTTAAATTGATAATTTAGTCACTACATACAACCTCTCTTAATTAACTCAAGGCCACTATAGACCTTCATATGAAAAACTTGTGATCATATATGATTCAAGTAACATTATATGATCTCGAGATTTGACACCAAGTCTCAAGACCTTTAAAATTATTCGAATTTTTTTTAGACTTTTTCGAGCTCGAAAAGAGAAGAGATAAGATAGGAATATTTTCCATTAACCTCACGAAACCTTGGGAGGCCATTTGAATGGTGGAACTAGGGATGGCAATCTAGTCCGGATCTGACCCTACTCCGCCTCGATCCGATGTAAAATATCCGCTCCGAGTCCGAGAAAAAAGTAATCCGAGTTCGACTCCGTTAAAATAATCCGACTCCGAGTTGGAGGAGGGTCGGAGTCGGATCCTACAAAAAATCCGAGAAAAAAATCCGACTCCGACAAATGTCCGACTTTAACGGATTATCCGACTCCGACTCCAATAGATAATGGGTCATGGTGGCATTGGGTGTGGGTTGTAAAAGCCCAAATAGCCCAACATCTCAAAGTATATTGAATAATGAAAAAAAAACTTGGAGTCGGGTCGGATCGGAGTCGGAGTCGGAGGTCGGATATTGAAGTCGGAGTCGGATGTCGGATTTAACCTCTGACTTCCTGTCGGGTCGAAGTCGAATTTAGCATAATCCGCTCTGAGTCCGACCCGTTGCCATCCCTAGATGGAACCATCTATTTTAGCAAACAAAACAATTATCCCAAAAATAACAAAAAGAAAGGTCTCATCATTAAAAAGGAGACAATTTGAAACTCAATTGGGCCCCCAAATAAATACAAATGGTCCAACCAATTGCAACTCCCCAACATGAATGAAAGTGACTAGCCCAAATTCCAAAACAATTGTCCCTATCAATGTCTAAAACAGCCCAATATCAAAAACTACAAATGGGCCCCCAAACATGTTTCTATTTAGGCAGAAAATCCTCTCTGCCGTTTGCCCATTGGTTGTTCACCCACCACATAAAATTCCAGAAGGCTTTGAACATGAAAGGGCTCACCCAAACATCCATGTTCATGTCCAAACAAAATGTATTTGTTGGAAAATGGGCCTTTCTCCTTTTATTGGCCCACTATCTTCCCTATTTATATTTGGAAACTCTTTGCCCCCTACCCTAAACTTCTAGGACCCCCTCTTTGATTTGATTATTTTGTTGGATCACTACTTGTTTTTCCTTGTAGGGTTGTACCCTAACCCTACCCATGGTTACACTAGTTCAACATAACCCTTAAATAGATTAGACTTGTATATCTTGTTTTCGACTTTTCAACCCTGATCCTACATCTTTGATTAATATTTATAAAGATTTTTGCAATTAAGTTTGTTGATAATCACACTTGAGGAAGAGGAATCGTATTTCATTGCTTTACTTTTTGTCACATTAGCCATGTTAGTAATTGATTGATATAACTAGTTGTATTAACTGGTTTGAGCAGGTGGTTGTATTAGATGATTTGACTAGATGATTGTGTAAAAGTGTTTGGTAAATGGCTGTCAATTGTTAGTTTTTTCAATTTATATATGTAATAACCAAACAACTATATGTTTAATAAGCTAATTTTAAAAGGCTACCAACTAACGATTAGTCAAAGCAGCTTATAATAGCTAAAAGCTGACTACCAAGAAAGGTCTCTATTATGATGAGTTTCTTCTTATTGAACTTTTTAAGCACAAAAAACTCTTTAAGCTACTTACCAAACACCTAAATTAGCTTTTTAAAAATGGTTAAACACCTTATAGGTCTCAATAAAGCTAAAAGCTATCTAAAAAACTCTTTATTGACTATCCTTTTAAGTTGATCATTGTGCTTATTTAAGCATTATGCTAATGTTTAATTTGATGTATTTATGAGTTAAAACATGACATTGACAGTTTATTGTTCTTTCTTAGTTATTTGTTTTGCAATTATCTTTTTCTATTTCCACATTTAATAATCACTTGAAACTCTTTTGATACGCGATTTAGTATTAATTAAAACGACAAATTACACGGGAACTTATTTTTTAGGTGCTAATATATTTCTTTCAAGAAATATCTTTGAAATAAAAACCATACTGAAGATATTTTTCCTTTCTAGAATTTGAATGAAACACTATGATGAAATGATTATATTAATTATGTTTCAAAATTATGTATGTGCTACAATTTTGGAACACCCAAAAATAGGAAATAATATTAATATAATTAGACATTGACAATGATCATATGGCAAGTAATTAATTAGATGAATGCGTGTATTGCGTGTTTCATGTACATACAAAAAAGTTTGAAAAGAAAAGACATAGATAGGAATTTCTGATCTAGTTAGGCTGCATCAATAACTACCAATCTTTTGTAAAAGTAATTTGAAATTTCTACAAGTGTTTGCTTACCAAAATTGATAAGGAATATACATTCAGAGTCCTCAAGAAATTGGGAATCTGTACCACTTTTTTTAGTCATAGATAATGCACTTTTTTTGCTTGTTCAAAATAAATACATAGAGTACAACATAATTTCTTTTTCTTTATTTATAAAAAGTTGTTTTTTTTTTTTTTTTTTTTTTTTTTTTTTTTTTTTTAATGAAATCTTCTCCATAATGTAGTATATGTAATATTTGTATGTAGTAGTTTGTATAAATAATTGTACGGTAAGGAGAAAGATCATCCTAAGAGGGAAAATTGTATATTGTATTGGATATTTACCGCTTTTTATGTACTTAGGGTCTGTTCTCATACGATTATTTTCAGTTCAGTTCAATTCAATTCAGCTCCTAATTTCCTTCTCTTATAAATTATTCATTTCATTTCAGTTCAGTTTAGTCAATGAGAACATGCCCTTAGTCAAGGAACCTTGAAATCACCCATTAAGTTCCAGTCTTCTTTTGGTTGGGAGTCTTTATGAGAAAATATCTAATAGAATTGAATGAGGTTGATGATATTCGACCATAACCTTAAACTTGAAATTTGAAGAGATAGGTAAACTGCTCTGGCTTCCTATCTTTATGTTAATTGCGGAGTACTTGTATTAGTTGTATACATGCACTTATCCACAAAGCTTACATTTGCGGGTAAGCTAATTAATTAAGGGTGTGGTTTATGAGCTGTTCTAATTAATCGAAAGTCAGACGTTCTATTGCTATCAACTTGAAAGAGATCGGCCATGTTTTGCTGTTACACCCAACCTAGCTAGTATTATTAGGTTTGGACTTCTCTTGTTTTTCTTTTTAAAAAAATGAAATAAACTCTTCATCTTATTATTGTATTTTATTTTTGTAATGTAGGATTATTGAATTTACTAAATGAGGCACAAAAGTATAGTAATCAAGATACATACATATCCATGTATGTATGCTATGATTTGAACAAATGTGAGAACGAACGAAATAATTTTTTTGATGTAATTATAGAGAAAGTCACAATGCCAGATAAATAATTTAGACAAAATTTGATTTCAGATATTAAATATGTGTTATTGTACCACCTTTTATCACGTTCACCAACTAAGTTAGTTGACAGCTACAATGTTATCATTCTATAATAATGTGTTATAAAAAATTTAAAGAATGATTGATTTTACTACAAATAATAAGGTTTCAAACATTTAGAATATTGTATGTAGAGCACCTAATGTGTTTGATAATTAACTTAAATGGAGCTATATAGTATAATGCAACGCATGGAGTCATGTGCGATATGGTTAGAATGTTAGATTCATCTTCTTATTAGCGTGTGTGTGTTTTTTTTTTTTAAAAAAAAAATAAAAATAAAAAATCTAAATGATTGGTAAACATATAAGTTTGCAATTATAAAAAGTGAAATATTTCGTAATATCATGGCATGAAGAGAATGTTGCAGAGTGGGAAGATCACCGAATAATATGCATGCTTATGAGAAGATGGTACAATAGCATGCTTTCCAATGTCTATATTAGTCTTAATTACAAGGTTTAAAACTTAATATCTCATCATTACTTATTGGCTAATGTGTATACTTTTGTTAGTGGTTAATTTCCAATTTCTCTCATCCTAATCCTTTCACTTTATGATGAATTGAAGATAAGCATACAAAAGATTTACTTATCATTTTTACGTTGAATTAATTAAAACCACTCGTGTTGAAGATAATTATTTTCATTTTCTAATTTGTGAATTATTTCTTTATTGATCTCAAATCAATTTTATTTTCACTATTTGTAAATTATTGCAACTTTGGCCTTGTACATTCACCTAAACACGCATTGTCACAATTGATTTGATAATTTAGAGACACATAAAGGGGTTATATAAATACTAAGGGCTTTGTTTCGGGCATTTTTTGGATAACCCGAAAGGGGGGTATGGATTCCCGCGGGAGACAAATCCGGGATGCAATACTCGTACGGCCTGAACACCTGCAAAACAACGGATCTCCGGTGTAGCGGAGATCCGCCTCCGACGATCAAGTTAGTGACCGGAAAATGGATTCTTAGAGAGAGAAAGTAAAGAGAAGTGAGAGCATATTTTGGGCATTGTGCCTTTGGGAATTGTGTGTTCCCTACCATCATGAAATGATGGGGTATTTATAGGGGAG